GATTTAGAATAATTATCATTTTGATCCATACATTGGTAATGTCTGACTGGGCCTCGTGTCACTTTATGTTCAATAAATTGAGGTCAAAAAGGTTAAGAAGCCCTGCTCTTTCCACCTTATTTTCTAACACAGAAGTAAACATGGGTCCAACTTCTGTTTTTTTAATTCGCACTTCAGTCTCACCGCTTCCCTGGGCTAAATAATAGCAGCTTAACTAAAAAGGTGAACTGTGTTGTGGGAACATTTCCAAAAATCTCTGAACAATTCAAGCGGCAAGTCAGTGTCGGACCCTCAAACTATCCTCCAGTGGGAGGATGACATGAACAAATGGCCTCATGTAATGTACGAGGAAAAGTTGGCAAGATATTATGTTAAGGTATATTTACTTTTACTTAGTTATTTTTTTCAATTACTTCATAGACCTCTGCTGGTTTTATTGTTCCAGGTTTTGTTTGGAGGCATCGTGACGGCTCATCCTAATAAGAGCAGAACAAAAGGCCCGGTTCTAATAAAAGCCTGGAACCAGAAACAGCTGAAGGGGCTCTGCCCTCTGAGGAAATAAAGCAGTTTTTCCACTTTCATCCTGATGAGTTTAGGAAACGCAGCAAACGATTCACGTCTTTTCTGCCGTTTATTGATTTGTGAAGCCTGAAAGTGACTCAGCTGATAGTCACTGTACGGGCTTCATAAACTGCAGGAAGGTGGATTAAGTGCCGGTTAACTGGGGCAGTAATTGCAGTCTGTGAAAGGCCCGGAGCAGTTTGGTTGATGATGACATTGCATATATTAAGTGGCTACACTGAAGAGTGACATTGTCATTGACGTATGATGAGAAGCCTGCCTATCCGGCTGAGTGCTGACATTAGAGATATAAAGCTAAATTTATCTGCCTGTTCCTGTAGCGCTGTCAGAGAAGCAGAGCTCCAGCTGAGCGTTTTCAGTCTGTCGCTCTCAATGAGCTTCTTCAGCTGTGTTTACTGTTCCTGTTACAACCTGTGTTGATACTAAAAACCCATTAAGACGCTCATTGACATTGACTGAAAGTAGGATCCTCTAACCAGCAGGCCCCACCGTGATGTTAAGTGCTATTGATTGAAGCAGCTCTATGAACTAACTGGCGGTGTTGCTGACGGATCCACTACTAACCGGCCTGGTTGGTGGTGATGTTGACCGTGGAGTAGTTGGGCGGGACGGGGTTTTTCCCAGACACCCCGTTGACGGCCTGCACCTCGAAGCTGTAGCGGGTGTGAGCCTGCAGGTTCCTCACCACCACCTTCCTGGACCGCAGCCCCAGCCTGCGCGGGGCGATGTCCACATTGTCGTCGCAGCGCGTGCACGGACTCCTGTCGCGCAGGCACTTCTTACACACCACGTTGTAGACGAGGTCGCCACGCCCACCCGTGTCCTCAGGCTCCTCCCACTCCAGGGACAGGGAGGTCTCGTTGACGCTGGATATGACGTTGCGTGGAGCCGAGGGGATAGCTGCAAAACACATACACACACACACACACACACACACACACACACACACACACACACACACACACACACACACACACACACACACACACACACACACACACACACACACACACACACACACACACACACAGTTAGTCATGTGGCTAAAAGTAAATATAGAATTTGTGTTTCCTGCTAAAATGCGGTGTGTGGAAATATTTGTGCTGAAGGCTGCTGAGGAAGCTGATGTCAAACTGAAAATGTTTATTAGCAAAACTGTAATGTGCTGAAAGCAGGAAAATAAAACTGAAAAGTTAGTAAAAAAAATAGCAAAACTGTGTCAAAAAACAGTAGAAATGGAGCTAAAATGAGCAGAAACAGGTAAATATTAGCAAAACAGTAACTTAGAAATCAGAAAAAAATTACAAGAAGCAAAATCAGTGAATTTACAAACAATAAATATCAGTGCTGGGCACGTTAACACGTTATTATTGCATTAATGAAGCATTATTATTTTTAACGCTTGTTAATGCAGTTATTTATTTCTTTATATTTCTCTGTCGGATCTCAGCTCACTGGGCACCTAACTGATGATGTGCAGATCAATAATGAAATATCGATACTACCAATACCAGAGCTTTATGTTCTAGAATTGATACTAAAATCAAAATATGTATACTTTGATACTTCAGTTATTTCACATAATGTATATCATTAACGGGAAAATAGTGGAAAATAACTAAACTATTCAAACTATTGTCTTAATCATATGTGGTTGGAGGGGACTACTTTTTCTTCTGCTTGAGTAATTCATCAGCACAGTGGCACATGCTCGGTCAGTCACTCAGTCTGTAGAAGTATGGCAGGTCATTTTAACATAAAATCTGCTTCTTCTGACTGTAATTAAATTCTAGATGAGGGGTTCCCAAACTTTTTCATGACATGGACCCCCAAACAGCATTAGCTCTGGCCAGGGACCTTCTTGCAAACACACAAACAATGCTACAAAATATACAAAGTAACAACTTTTTGAAGGTTCTTTTCCCTTTTATTCAGTATTAAAAAAATATTATATTTCTTTAGAATAAGAATTTTTAATTGTGTTAAACAAATATAGGGTTAGGGTTAGAAAGACTTTTAAATTCTATAAATTACTGTCATGTATTATTTATAAAGCAGTTATTTGAAAAATGCTACTTATCATGATTTACCAGACACAGTATGTGTGTTATAACTACTCTGTATCAGTATCGGAAAGAAAATTGGCAGTTATCACTACAGCTAACACACACACACACACACACACACACACACACACACACACACACACACACACACACACACACA